CCTCGATTTGGAGAGGAATATACATAGCTTTCTGCTCCAAGTTATGACTCACATACACACTGGTTTTAGCCAAAACAAAACAAGTTTATTAAATACAAAAGATAGATTTTAAGTGATTATAAGGGATAGCAAACAGATGAAAGCAGATGACCTAGCAAATAAACAAAAACACAATCTAAGCTTAATATACTAAAGAGATTGGAAATGAGTAGGAAATTCTCACCCTAATTATGGATTTAGGCATTTTGCAGAGATTTTTGAGCGCAAGCTGCACTTGCTTGCAGCTTAAAACCCCAGGTATTCCTTTTACAGATTAGAAATCTCTCTGGCCCGGGTTCAGCCCTTCTCCCCCAGTCCAGTCCTTGTTCCTCAGGTCTTTCCAGCAATCTTCTTGGGCAGGGAGTCAGTGAAGAACCACAATGATGTCATGCCCCTGCCTTAAATAGCATTTGCATATGGTGGGAACCCTTTGTCTCCCCTCTTGGTTCCCATGCCCGGTCAGTGGAAAAACATTGGTATTCCAAGATGGAGTCCAGTACCAGGTGACTTGTTCATGTGCCCCTGTAGGAACATAGCAGCCATGACTCGGAGGCTGTTTGTAGTGTCCTTAGGAAGGCTTCCCGGTGGGAGATTAGCATCTTCTAAGACCTATTGTTCTCCCTAATGGCCTTTCCCAGCCAGCCACCTAGATTGATTGCATATTCCTAACTTCAGATACCAAAATGATAGATGCATTTAAATAGGATAATTATATTCAGTGACTCATAACCTTTCCAATGATATCTCACATGACCTATCTTGTATAAAATACATCATAGCTATGCTGTAATCATATCATAATAATATTACTATGAAGAATATGGGGCGTAATGCCATACCTGGTTCCTGTGAACCCAGCCAGCTCTGCAGCAGGCTGAACTTTCGGAGGAAAACCTACTTTATTAGATAGGAAAGGTAACTTACTATAATAAGTGTAGTCCCTAGTTTGCATTGTGTGATTTTGTTTTTTATTGTAACCATTTCTTTCCATCACTCTCTTGTTTCTAGCTGAATCTCTCTCCTTTCTTAAATAAACCTTCTTTTGTTGTATTATAAGTGTCCACAAGTTCTGTGTGGCTTACAGCCAGTGTCAGGGGCTGGATATTGCAGGGGAATGATTCAAAGTCACTTGGGGACTGGGTGCACCTATTTTTAACCACCAAGGCAAAATCATGGCTGGCATTGCCCAGAGGAGAGTGCCTGGGTGACTGAAAGGCTGGTGGTGTCAGGGAACTGACACCCAGTCACCATGGGGAAGGCAACCAGTTGCTGGAGGCAGGAGATAACAAGGTGACTCACTGTTCTGGATACCGCAAGGACACTCTCTCTCTCTCTCTCTCTCTCACACACACTCACAGACTGAAGAAGTCCACTCATTAAACTCTGATGGTTTGTCTAGAATGGTCTTCCCAGGAGAATTACATTGGACCAACTGGGTATAAAGTACCCTTTGTATGACCAATGTTCATTGTCTATCCAGAAGGCATAGTGTGTGCATGTGGGTTTTGACACCATAAAGTCCATTTCCATTCATTTAGTTCTGATTGTCCTGGTATTTTCAGATCACTCTGTCCAGCTTGTGGGTAGATGTTGATGCCTTTCATGTGCCTAAATTTTAATTTTCTCTCTTGTCCTTCTGAACAATAAGATTCTACTGGGAAAAAAAACATTTTGAGATATTCAGAGCAGTCTAGGGAATTTAAAGACACAGAAATTTGAATGGAAGATGTGTGTCTAAATCCTCCTAGATCACCATGAAAATCTCAGGTGTTATTTTTATGCACTGACAGAGACATGGGTTAAGATGTAATCAGCAAGTCCATTATAATTTATCTTTGCTACACAGGGCTAAATTTCCAAGAGTGCACTTTTACTTTGAAAGGTGAGTATAAAAAGACAACTTCTTACGGAATGCCCCTGCTTCCTGTGGATATTTAAAGCCATGTCCCCTGGCCTTAGGAATAGAAACAAGCTGTTGATTTTTTTTTTGTCCAGTTCACTCTGCAGAGACAGACCAGCCCTGGGAAAGGGAGCTGGATTTCTGTTCATCATCGACAAAATTGTTCTTCAGAGCAGACGTTCACTTAGTATCATTTACCCGCAACTTCCTCATGTTAATATCTGTTTGGATACAAATAACTTCATCATTTTACTTTCTCAATGACTGTCAGTAAAGTTATTGTATGATTGCCACCAAAAAAATAAATAAATAAGCTCCACTACCTTATGTTGGTGGTATATTGATATCTCCCATTGTCAGTCCCTCTCTATTAATTGCATCACCTGTGCTCAGAAAGAGACTAGGCCTATATCTCTGAAAGGTCTCTGAATCCAGACACTTTTTTCCCCATGCTGCTGATAGGAAGAGAGAAGCAAAGATGCTTGTGCTACAAGCAGAAGAGGTAAGTGCTGAAGAGGGATCTAATTTATTCTACACATAGTTTACTTTTTATTCTCCAAACTGAGATTTTGGTGACATTGCAAATCCTCACTGAAACTACTTTGTTAGGTGCTCAGATTCCACAGGGATAGGTGAGGTATAAGAATCTGGACAGTGTCCCTGCATAATATCTCATATTGTCTATACTTTCTCATCTGTAACTTGCTTAATTTTTTAAGCCTCACTTCTTTAAGGAAACCATAATGCCTGCTGGAGTGAATTCCTCTTGGAGAAAATTACGGTTAGATGCTTTCTCAGAGAATGTTAACTCTCTTCTTACTGGACAAAGAAAATATGGATGTGAGTGGCAGTGTAAATGTGAGTCAAGAGCTAAAAGAGGGGCAGAGTTCTCAGCTCACAAAAGGTGACTGTCACAGGGCCCCTGATTTGGGTTGAACCTCAGCATAGGTCATACCCCCTTTTTTTGCTTAACTGTCAAGGAGCACAAAGCAAACTGCAGACACTGGCTGTGTAGGCCATCTGGCTTGCTGGCAAGTCTAGGCAGAGAACTGTGCAGCCTGGAAAAACCACTATCTTCAGGAAGAGAGATGGAATTCTCTGCCGAATTTAAACACTAAGAATTAAAGGTTGGGACACTCGGAATTTTGGTTAATAACTAAAATAATTTCAGATAGCGTTTTCTTCTTTGATCAGTCCAAATGAATTACCTGTACTTGCAAACGCTTAAGCACATCAGTAATTCACCTGGGCTACTCATCTGAGTAAAGATAATGTTGTGCAAAGCATTTGCAGAATTGGGCTCTATGGAAACGCAGGTTGACATTTGGATAATTTAAATTTAATTTTCCTTCTCTGTGTTACTAACAACTGAGATGATTAAAACTCAGTATTTTGGGATCTCACTTGCTTCCACTATAAATGCTGCTCGTTTCTGTTGTGCACTGATATGAATGTTAATGTCTATAATATTTTTCAGTTACTTGGAGGGAGAAACAAAACAAACCCCGTATTAAGGCCTGATTCTCAGTCACCCTAAGGCTGATTTACACCAATGGGAAAGTGCAAAGACATCTTAAAATAGATGTTAATTTCATCCACACTCACTTAAAGATCCCTTTACACAGCCAGAGTGGTGTAAGGTGGCCCTAGTGTAAATGAGAATCAGGCCTATTACTATTAGTAATTCAGATTGTGACACCATGTGCAATCTGCTCCTGATCCACATGTTGTAGCACTTGTTTCATTTCACAATGGTGTACGTCCCACATCTGCATTTCCACATCTAATCCAAAATCTCTGGAATCTCTCGGTATCACTGAGTACTTGACCACCTCCCCAGGGGAGTCTGTTTCTGTGTCTCAGTTGCTCTGGCTGTTACAAAACTTGCCCTAATGCTGTCAGGTCAGGAACAGTGGGAATCACTGTGACCCAGAGAAATACAGAGGATCTCTCTGTGGCACAAGATAACACACCTGGTGCTCTGTCTGCTAGGAGGGTGCAGCATGCACTGCCTTCCAAGACTAGCCAGTTCCTTCCCTCTTTCTTGTCCCCTTTCAGAGCCTTATACTGCAGGGAGTGCTAGAAAGGAGCAGTCACTGCACTGAGAAGAGTGCAGGTTCTACAATTTTTGCTGGCCCTGATGGAGGAGACACAAAAGCCAGCACACATGTTGCATTCTCCTTTTACCTTCTTGTGCAGCCTCAAAACCTGTACCTTTGCCTGAACTTTTCCTTGTGCCATACACTATCCTCCTAGGCCTAGCGAAGCAAGATTCCAGGAACGGTAATAAAGCTGAAGTCTCACATATCAGAGCACAAAGCAGTGGTTCCCAGGCATTGGCCCCGATCCCTGCAGCATTCCTTGTTCTTTCTGACCTGAGCTGGTAGAAACCAGGTGCCAAATGGTATAAATTGGACTAGAAGTCAATGATCAATACACTGATTCATACCAGCCAAGGATCTGGGCCCAAGTACCTGGACTTAGGGCTTCTGCATGGTCACACTGAACTCTAATCCCTGGGCACTGGACCCAGTCTCCAGAGCACTCTCAGCACCCTGTGGCAAGAGACAAGGACTGATAATTGATCCCAAGCCTGCTGTAGGACAGTGCAGAGTGCTAACCCCTATGACATGCATCTGGTCATAACAGAACATGACCATAATGCTGTGAAAATCCTGTACTCAGCCCCACATATGAATCCTGATCCTGCAGTTCTGCAGAAACAAGTTGCCTCTTTAAAAAACAAAGTATAGAATTTACACAGACAGATGTTGCAAAGAGAAATAAGTGGTGGGCAGGTGGGCGAGAAAGGAGGCAGAGGAAGAAAGAGAGGGGGACTGTTCCTCAGTCAAAAGGGAACATTTCTCTTTTGTAACATCCTTTCAGGGGAAGTTCTGGCCCACTCTGCTCTGATATCCGGGTTGCCTCATTTGTATCAACCAATGCATTAAAAAGGAGCCCTCTCTAAAATGACAGATCTTGTTCCTCGCTCATCTGCTGCAGAACCTCGAATGTGCCTTAACTTTTTGACTTGAAATGTAAGCTTCCCTCTTCACCAGCTATGACAGAGGAAATAACATATGCGGATCTGGAATTTAATAAATCTTATGCACTGGAAAATATCCCAAAGCCTGCTGCTCCTGAGGAAAAAGGTACAATCTCTAAGGCTTTTTTAGTTACTGTGCTTAAATTAGCTGGATTGGGAAGTACTGTCAACCTAATCTTAGGCAGAATGGGCCTCTTCTAAATTAACTCCTCTAAATCCGTTATTCTCAGTAGAGTTACACCAGTGGTGAATTTCTCATTTTGTTTTATTGTCATTATTAATTAACAGAAGCACAGAAGCATGCACTGTGCAGTTCAAAGCATGGAGGGAGATGTTGTCCCTCCCCTGAATATTTTCACAATGTAAGGACCCCTGCAAACACTAATTGCTGAGAGTACTTTCTACCACGAGTAATCCTATTGACTTGAATGGGACTACCCATGGGAGTGAGCAGTGTGCAAGGTAGTGTTTGTGGGATCAGGTTCTAGTGTAGAGTTTGAGAGTCTAGAGGACATACTGTGCCATCCATGGCGATTTTGGCAGAATCAACAATGGCAAGATGTTGCGCTAGATTAGGATTTTATAGTTGTCAAACTCTGGTCCATGGAGGAAATAGAATCTTAGTTCTCTTTCATTTTTGACCTGCTTCTTTCTCATGGGAGGTTGTAACATTTGGTGACAAATGATAACTCACTTTCACAGTATGGAGCATATGTGATGTCTCCATGTGAAAGGGTGAACAGAGCCAGAGAAGAGGGAAATACTTTAAATAGTCAAAGGTACTTTTAAAAAAAGAGACCACGGGAATATTTATAAATGCAAGAAAAAAAATGCTCAAAACACAAACTCTGTTTCACGGAGCCTTTTCCTGAAACAATGAATGAGAGATTAGTTAAATAAAAAACTCTGAAGACAGAACTTTTGTTTGCTTTGGCTCTCTGAGCAGTTTGGACCTCAGAGCCCCAGGCTGTCTTCTGCAGAAGGGCTTGCATTCAGCTAGGGAAACCTCAGATCCCGAGTGAATCAAATTGAAACCACTTCCTTTTTTCCTTATCTGTCAGAGACCACAACATGTGATGCTGTCAGGCTCCAGCTTGGGGCTGTACCTTGGTAGGGAAGGTGGTAGGTTATTTTGCCTTTCAATTCAGACAAAAGCCAGATTATTTAGCAGTTTTGCCATTTTTAGGAAAGTAGCAATCACCCGATGGCATCAGTGTGTAACAGGCTCTGATTCCTGGCTCAGGCAGAGGAGCACACAGCATGATTCAGGAGGGGAATGTGCAAGAATGGCTGTAAATCATCTTTGTCCTATCCCCGATCCTGGGCCATTTGTGCTCTAAGCCAGTCCTCTGGTATCAATTAGAGCAGTCTGAAGGCTGTTCCAACTTTGCTGCAGGTGCTAGTGACCATAAATGGTCATTGGAGGCAGAGCAGTTGGAGATCACCAGAGTTCAGGGAAACCACAGCGACGTCTTCTTTTCTGGAGCCACCGCTTTACACCAGTCATAGGGAAGGAAGTCTGCCCCCAGGAGCATGCTGTAAGAAGACATACAGGTTTCTCAGTGCTCTGTGGACACACCTTGATTGTAGCCAGATTCTTTGCAGCATCTTTTGAGGAGGGCAATGCAACAGTTCAGAGATGGACCCATTGCAAGTCGCTCAGCCAGCTCATCTGGTGAGGAGGGAGCAGTTGTGGGGGGAGGGGAGACTCGCAGGACAGGGGCCTGATGGAGAGGTCCAGAGGGCCAGGGGGAAGGGCAGGCGGGGAGACCACTCCTGCAGAACCCACTCAAGGAAGGCCTTAGAGACAGGCAGTAAGGCTGCCCTCACCTCCTGGAGTATACAAAAGGAAGTATTTCTTCACACAACGCACAGTTAACCTGTGGATCTCTTTTCCAGAGGATGTTGTGAAGGCCAAGACTATAAGAGGGTTAAAAAAAGAACTAGATAAATTCATGGAGGATAGGTCCATCAAGGCTATTAGCCAGGATGGGTAGGGATAGTGTCCCTAGACTCTGTTTGCCAGAAGCTGGGAATGGGCAACAGGGGATGGATCACTTGATGATTACCTCTTCTGTTCATTCCCTCTGGGGCACCTGGCATTGGCCACTGTCGGAAGACAGGATACTGGGCTAGATGGACCTTTGGACTGACCTTGTATGGCCGCTCTTCTATGCCGTCGAACTTGAGGGATGGAGAGCCCCATGTACTGGCCAAGCGACAGGGGCTCCAACTGTTGTACTCCAGGAGGTCTCCCCAATTCTGGTGATACCTGTCAGGACCAACTTCCGGCACACCAAGGGGGACTCCACCACCTGAACACTGAGCTGGGGGTTGTGTAGCAGGGGCTCTGTAAAGAGGTCCTCCCTCTCGGCGGCCACCATGGACCTGGTCGCCTAGACCAGCTTCCAGGTCCTTAGGATGTCCCGGTAGAAGACCGGTAGCTCAGAGAGGTCTTGCAGAAGACCCCTCAGATGGAGGTAGAAGAGATGGAGGTTGCATCGGAGCCCTCAAAGATGGTGGAGGAAGGTGTGCACCAGCAAACTCTACGCCAGAGTAACTGCACCATAAAGGAGTCTCTGCAGGGCCTGAAGGTGGTAGACATGGATCTGACTGTGAAGGCAGGGCAGATCCTGTCCACCCTCTCCCAGAAGGAGACTCAGGACCCCCACAGAGACCCAGTATAGCTTCAGCCAAAAGAACTCCAAGGTACCCGGGGCTGACTCAGGGTGTTTAGCTGGTGCCAGAGCATCCCCATCCTCTGTAAAGTAAGGGAAAGAACCCTAGTTAGTCAGCTCCACACCTGGGGGTGATTAACTAATTTTCTTCTGCCCAGAAGAGGCAGAGTTAGCTAGGCCTTAAAAGTAGACTGAGGAAGCTCACTTGGGGGAAGAGACTGCAGAGGAGGAAGGTCTCTCTAGCAGAGAGAAGTCATGGGATACGTTTTAACAGATAGAGTACAATGGTGGAAGAACAATACAGCAGCAGGTTAGGCTTCTACAGGGGAAGCCCTGTGCGAAGGCCAACAAGGGAACTACAGATGTTGAGAGGAGCAGAAGGGTATTAGTTTAAGAACCTGTTTGAACTTGTTTGTGTTACCCTGGAAGGGATGAACTCTTATGGACATGGCCAGAGAGCCGAGGCACAGAAGACCCAGACAGGGAGTAGGAGGAAGACTTTATCTGAGACTGCCCACTGCAGCCAAGGAAGTACCCACCAGAGCAGGTATGAGAGGCAAAGTCTTGTGCAGTGCTGCATCTATGCACTGGGGGTTGCCCTTGAGGTGGAGATGCACACTTACAGGCTGACTCATCCTTCTGCATAATTTATATCAGCCTTAGGCCTGCTCTAAATTATGCCTGGCTGCAACAGTCCCCAAGAGGCCACTTCACAGCAGTGATCACTGCAGTGCAGAGGCACTCTCACCATGGTCCCTTCCACAGCCATGTTCTAGACACCTTCTTTGAGTTATGGCCAGGTGATGTAGAGCTGGCTACTGCAGCTAGGGATTTCCCTGTCATGGGGATTCCCAAGTAGATGGTTAAGCAGGCTTTCATCCTGCTTTGCATTGTCAGAACAGCACAAAGCAGAACCTGGCTCAATAAGGAGACTAGAAATACAGCTAGACTAAAAACTGTTACTTTACAGAAAGTCCTTTTGTTTCTTCCCACTACAGCATGCTGTCTGTCTTCACAGGGCCAGGCTCTCTCTGGGAGCATGTGGGCCATGGGTCTATCTACATTACAAAAATATCCAATTTCGGAGGCCCATTTACAAGACCAGTTACACCACCATTCTATTTTGAAGTGAAGCTGGGAACTAACGTGGATTTAACTGGGCCTTCAGTCTGTGCGCCAGCCTTGGACTTGTGCTAAGTGTTAATATGAACTTGGGACACAGTTACTGTCCCAGCTACACTCCAAATTGAGACTGGATTGTATTTGGTAAAGAGTTAACTGATTTGTGGCTAGAACTGGTGAATACTTGTTGTCACTACACAGACTTCAGTGGACCACATCAATTTACACTAGCTGAGGATCTGGTTCATAGTGTATAATATCCAAACAAAGAGTTAATAAAATTGATGTCTTACATCTTGTTGGTCTACAAAAGGGCTTGACAACTCATTTGTCATGTATGTGTAAAAATTCTTTTCTGGGGGCTGGAGCTATTAGAAAGTTAAAATATTTTTCACCATTGGAGTTTTCTTTGTTTCCTGGTTGATTATCAGATAGAATAATTAATCAAACATCATATTAAATTCATTTAAAAATACAACTCATATCAGGCAGCAAAATATCAACCACCACTTTGCACTATTACATAGGGATGTAAATGAAACCTTCCTGACTCTAGCTGGTGATCATGCCCTGAAGCATGAGGATCAATGGCCCTTGTAATTTTACCCTAGCTAGTGTCACAGCAGTTGATATTCTTTTTTCATATACATTTCTAACCCTGTGTTCTCAACATTCTGTTTAGGGAATTCTGCTTTCATTTTCTACCCTTTTGTTCACTCTTTACAGCCTTTCGGTCAAAACCCAGCTTCTAAAATATTTTGCCATTACAAAGATTGTCATTTAAGAAGAACAAAAACCACTTAAGGGGGACTGGATGGTGTCTGAAGTGGGAGAGTGGATAACGTTATCATAGAAAAGTGAGGCAAGCTGATGATGAGGAAGGACATGCCATTGCTGGAGGAGAAGGAGGCAAATGGCTATTGGTTGGAGGAGATACCAATGCTGGAGTGGTAGATGGACTTCTTGTTTCCTCCGTAGCCATGGTGTTGACTAATAAGGAGGAGATACAAGAAATGATACAAAGTCTGAACTGTTATACAATAATACAAAGTGTGCTTGCTTCATTCCCACATTTATAGGCAAGGGGAATTATAAGTTCCTTCACCAGCAAGGGCTGCCGCTGTGACCTGGGAAGGATTTACCCTGGGGAGGGCAGGTCATGTTTTTAGCTTTCATCTCTAATTAGGGTTCAATAAGAGCTCTGCAGACAGATTGCAGAGAGGATCCCACCCACTCTGGGGTCTGTGCTGACCATCTGTAGCCCCTGCAGTGGAAAAGAGTCTGTTGGAAACTTCTGTAGCTGCAGCCCTTTCCAAGCAGACCTCTTACCACTCGGGATCCTGCAGCAGAGTCTGCCCTATCAGAAGCTGGCTCAGTGTCTTTGTGGGTATGTGGGAACCAAGAAGTAAGGAAGTAAGGAAGAAGAACAAAGCAGCAAAATAAGGCTTTTCCAGAATGCACAGCTTTTAGTCACTGAATTCACTATTGGTTTTCTTAGATTCCAAGGCCAGATAGGACCATTATGAGCATCTAGTCTGACCTCTTACATAGCACAGGCCATAGAACTTTCCAAAAATAATTCCTAGAGCAGATCTTTTAGGCCATGTCTACGCTATGACTTATGTCATTCAGGAGTGTGAAAAAGCCACCCCCCGAGCAACATACGTTTTGCTGGCATAAGTGGTAGTGTGCACAGCGCTATGTTGGCGGGAGAGATTCTCCCACGGACATAGTTACCACCACTCATGGAGGTGTTTTTATTAAGTTGACAGGAGAGCGCTCTCCGCTCAGCATAGAGCGGCTACATGAGCGTCTTATAGCGGCGCAGCTGCATCGGTACAGATATGCCGCTGTAAGCTCGCTAGTGTAGACGTGGCTTTGGAAAAACATCCAATCTTCATTTAAAAATTGTCAGTGATGGAGTATCCACCACACCCCTGGGTAAATTGTTCCAACAGTTAATTACTGTCACCATTAAAAATGTACACTTTATTCCCAGTCTGAATTTCTCTAGCTTCAACTTTCAGCCATTGGATCGTGTTATACCTCTCTCTGCATGATTAAAGAGTCCATTATTAAATATGTGTTCCCCATGGAGGTACATATAGATTATAATCAAGTCACCCTTTAACCTCCCCTTTGGTAAGATAAAGAGATTTTGCTCCTTGAGTCTACAACTAGAAGACATGTTTTCTAATCCTTTAATCATTCTCATGGCTCTTCTCTGAACCCTCTTCAATTTATCAACATTCTTCTTGAACTGTGAGCACCAGAACTGGACATAGTATTCCATCAGCAGTCACACCAGTTTCTGTTTAACATTCTCCAGAGATACAAGTGGAATGGGAAAGAGTGTACTCACCATATGATGAGACTGCATCATCTGTTTTTCCCCAAAATTCAGCACAGAAATATATATTAGCATGTCTGCCTTTTCTGCATTATTATTGATAATTCTAACATATCCATCTAGCAATGGACCAATACCATTGTCAGGATTCTTTTTGTTCCTAATATATTTTAAAAACTCCTTCTTATTGTTCTTATTTCTGCTGCCATAGATATCTCCCTATGTCCCTTGACTTCCCTTATCAATTTTCTACAATTCCTAATTTCTGATTTATATTCATTACTATCAACTTCCCCTTTATTCCAATGGTTATGTATTTAATTATTATTATTTTTTACAGCTGCCTTTAATTCTACACTAAACATTTTTTTAAAAACTAGCACAGCCTTCTCCCTCAATTGTGAGCTTATGGCATTGGGGACATCTAGTAAGGTGTTGTTTAAAGATTCCCAATTATCATTCAGTTTTTTTTTTGTTTTGATTAAATTCTTCCTTCCAGATGGTTTGGATTTGGCTCATAATTGTTTTCAGCGTTGTGAAATTGGCCCCACTAAAGCACCAATTATATATATTACTGGTCTGGACTTTTTTTTGCTGTTTCTGCAGGGCACCCTGCTTCTTCCCCCACATGGCGTCTGGTTGCCCTGACTTTCCTCACATTGTGCTTGGCATTGCTGGTAGGGCTGTTAGCCCTGGGAATAGTGTGTAAGTATCAATACTTTTTTATCTGGTGAATTTCAGATAAAAGATTGCTATCTATCCACTGTAGTCTGAAGTTGTTGATTTAACCATTGCACAGGTACAGCATGGGCAGTGGTAATGCAAGCTTTCCTGACACACTATCACCCATTAATGTACTTTACCTTGGTTGAGCTCCAGAGTAGTAGTATTGCTGCAAGTGACAATTTCTGTAGCCCATTCACTCCTTGACCTCTCTACCTAAATTGCCAAAGGGAAGGCTTCTTGTGCCATCAAGTTATGATGCTGTTTTTTGTGATATCGAAACCTGTCCCATTAGGAACTGGATGACATCCACTAATTCATTTCACACTGAACATTTATAAGGTGGGGATGTTTTTCAGTTAATACTGACCTGCGCTGGATATCAATTGGTGACAAAATGGTGAAAGGCTCTGTATCCCATTAAGAAGCCAGCTCATTTGATTTAAATTTTATTTTTAAATAGAAAAATTACACTAAACCTGTGATGTTAATACTAAGGGTTACTACCCAAAACAAGGCACAAATTTTAAACCAGATGAATAGAATAACGAAAAATTTTAAAAACAACAACAAGGAGTCTGGGGGCACCTTAAAGACTAACAGATTTATTTGGGCATAAGCTTTTGTGGGTAAAAAACCCACTTCTTCAGATTCTTCAGGTTTTTTACCCACGAAAGCTTATGCCCAAATAAATCTATTAGTCTTTAAGGTGCCACCAGATTCCTTGTTGCTTTTGTGGCTACAGACTAACATGGCTACCCCAATACAAAAATTAAAAGTGGACAAAGGCAGGAATAATTTTGATTTGTAAATTATGAGAATACAAAATGTTTTTGTGAATTTCAGTTTTTCAGGTTTCCAGTGACTTCCAGAAACAGATTGGAAACCTCAAGCGAAACCAGGAAATTCTGCAAACAAGTTCCTCAAAAAGGCTGCAAGACATGAAAGACAATTTGTGTCTGAAAGGGGAAGAAAAAAATAAGAATAATGGTAAATAGGATTGTTATGCAAATGGACTCCTGTCCTTTATTCCAGAATAGATACAGGCTGGGCAATGGTTATATAATTTCACCTATTCTCTTCCAATTACACCTCATTAAATGAGCTCTACACCTGCATTGAAAGGGACCACAACTAACTGTATGCAATTAGCAGAGAGGTGAGGTACAAGGGAATTCCTCCTTCATGATCCATTCAGTCCTTGTCTTCTCTGTTCAAATGGCTAAGAAAGCAAATAATTAATAATGCCAGTTATTATTGTGATTTTGTGATGTTGACACCTGCCTCCTAGTAACTGAACTGGTACTTTCCAACTGATTTCACATGGGCCATAAAATAGTATCAGATGGTAACTGTCCACTAGTGATGTTGCTTAGTGGTCTGCATAACAGCTTGGAAGATTAAGGATCAACTTTCATTCCGTTCCTCTAAGACTGGGTCATGAAGTGTGAAAGAAGTAGCATGTTCAGAGTCTGGAGAAGCAGGAATGCTTTATATCACTCAGCAATAGAGCTGGGCAACTTTTTTTTAATAGTAAATCATCAAATGGGTGTCCAAAATTACTCGTCAACTTAGGTTGAATTTAGCTAAATTAAAAAATAAGGGGAAAAAAATAAAAAGTCAAATAAAAAAGTTTATTTTTATTTATTATACCTGTCCAGAAAGTATCAGAGGACTGGACAGGTATTTCCCAAATTGTTTTGGCAAAAAAAAATAAATAAATAAAATTCAGGCTAGATAAACAAAAGGATTTAGGTGCCATTCACAAAAGCAGAGTGATTCACAAAGGCAGAGCATGACTGGGAGAACGATTACAGTTTAGGTGCTAGGGCCCTCACCTGTGATGATGTAGTTTAAGTCCCTGCTCCAAATATTTTTTTAATTATTTATACAAAGTGGAATGGCTTCAACAAAATAGACGAAGAGAAACTCATCCAAGAATAGCCTCCAGCTCACTCCGCTGGGATAGAGGAGATAGAGCTTCATATCAATGCATCGGTGCAGGAAACCCAAATATCCCCTCCAAATGAGTGCCCTACCTGTTGAGGTAAGGGTTCTAAGAGGGCCTCCTCCTCTGGCCATTTTCTCAATCTAGTCCTTTAAAAATGTCTGGAAACAAAATATTGTGGGATGAAGGAAACATTTTGTTCAACCCCAAACTGACTTTTTAGCAAATTTTTTCCATTTTTTCTAAGCTAACAACATTTCATTCTAAATGAAATGTTTCATTTTTAAATGTGGTTTCATTTAACATCAAGATTTTTTTTTTCAATTTTTCATTTCAGAGAGAAAATGAAAAACAAAACACTTCTGATTGGAAACTTTTTTTCAGATATTTTTGTTCAGACCCTAATCTAAAAAATGGTTTGGTTAGCTTTACTCTGCACTGCCCTCTTTGGCTAATTCAGGAGCAATATTGATTGGCTTCTAAGGTGAATTCACTCTGGAACCTCAAGGGTGGAGTACAGTAGTTGTTTGCAAAATACTAGAAAAATAAGCAGAGCTGGAAAGGTCATCAGAGTCTTTCATTGTGATGCCCAGAATCTCGGGGAGATGGGAAAAGTGATTTATTTCTGACCCTGGCTCTAGTGCCTAAGGCTACCAGTGGTCTGACTCTGGGGAAGATGGATCGATAATCATTTTATAAATAGATCCTTAAGCACAATGGTTCACCAGTGGAAAACATGAACACATTTTGTTTTTGAAACGGACAATGGAGTTTTATTTTCACCAGCACTAGTTTTGATCATATTGGAAGAGCAAGAAATTTTCACATGCCTCCAGTGATGTCTGAAACTGGAACCTAACACAGAGCATGAATGGGCTTTTCTAATCGAGCATCATTTATGGGAGGAAGGTCTTCAGCAAAGCAGAGGCTACTTTCATAAAGAGAAGGATCTCTGTGGAACAGCCCCTTTATGAACGTTGAGTTAGTGTGTTTTTTCCAGAACTGTGCAGAAGGAATAATTGGAACAGTGCTTGAGGGAAGTCAGGTCTGTGTGTGGGTATAGAGAGTTTGGGAGGACAATTCTGTAAGTCTGGTTTCCCCCTAGGGCAGAGTTAAGATGTTAGTGTGTAGTCTGTATTGTAGAGTGGTTGCTCTAGTAGTGATGTGTGTTCCTAGGTTGAGGAGTAGAGCAGAGGTTCTCAAACTGTGGTTTGCGGACCACCAGTGGTCTGCGAGCTACATTCAGGTGGTCCGCAGATAGTTCCCTCTAAGGTGCGCGCCTGGGCGGCCACACACCAGAGAATGAAGGGCCACCCACCTAATTAGTGGATCCTCAGCAAATTTCAAGTGGTATGCGGAAAAAAAAAAGTTTGAGAACCACTGGAGTAGAGGATATGTCCTGTTAGCTATGGAGTCAGGATATGTCCTGACTTTTAACCACCTTGCTTTTGTGATTTTGCCTTAGGTATGTTATGTATGGACTATCCTTTACAGATAGTATAGGAGCAGATTCTCCTTTACACTGCTATGGCAGCCATTTACACTCCCTTTAAAGCACCATTACATTGTCAGAGTGGTCTAAAGGGGCCTTACATAAAGGACATTCAGATTCATAGTAATGTTATCAATTAAGATGGAAAAAGACTTGTTCCTGGTAGTTCATACCTTCTCCATCCCCATTCTCATTCTCTGGCCACTGCAGGATTGTTCACTTAAAAAAAAAAAGGTGGCCTCTTTGCTGAGTCACACCAGATTTCAGGGCCTGGTAGGATCAGTTTTCCATTGGAAGAGAAATTAATCATGAGGAGTGTGGGTATTCTTAGTGCAATTGGTTTGTTTACACTAGATACACCAGGAACAGAGGTGGTTACAAACAGCATACAGACAATTCTTGCTTTCAGGAATCTCAGCCCACACATTAATGTCTGGGTCCCAGGAGGCAACTCCGCCCCAGAAATGAACTCTAGTTACAAAGATTAAGGAAAAGAGCAAATTCTCTTGCTGCTTGTAACAGCTCTATAAAAACGAACCTGAATCACAAACCTAACAACAATACAGCATCTCTTCAGAGACTGCACACTGCTCTCATGCTGAGGAGCAGAACTTGTAAGACTATGTGTAGAAGCTCGATCTGCTGACTCCTGATATAACAATGTTCTCTGCTGCTGGGTTCAACAGTTTTTACCTTCTCAGCAAAGTGAAATCCAGCCCTTCCCAATGGAGATCGTATCATACTTTCAAAGAATGAGTAGATCATTTCACACAGGCTAGTGATCATCTCGGGCTTGGCCCGCGGAGGATCAGTGCCATATACATGACAGCTCTGCAACTTCTATGTGAATTCAAGTCAATGGCAGTAGCCCTTGTATTCTGAACTGCTTAGGATGAGAAACAAAGACAATTTCTCTCTCTCTTTTAGGACCAAATTGTACACTCTGCCCTGCAAACTGGCAATGGATGGGAGGTGACACCTGCTTCTACATGTCAAGAGAGAAAAGGCCCTGGAAGCAGAGTCGAGAATTCTGTTCCTTACAGAATTCCCCCCTTCTCATGCTACAGGACAAGAAGAAGCTGGTACGGCTCCTACCCCAGCCTCTTTCATTTTATCTGGATATAAATTTCTCATAAGCCCCCCCTCTCCCCCCCAAGACAGAAAATGCAGTTTGGTTACTATAGCTCTGTTGCCTCCTATCTACAGGGTGTGGTACATTGCAGAGCACAGTGCCTTTGTCAGACACTGGATAAATAGCTTGTGGAACTTACCACGATAGAATATTTTAAAGCTAAGAGTAGACGTGAGTCTCTCAGATCCTGCTGTGGTTATGAACAATGGGTTTTCCACACAGGGCACTGCCTTCTGGGTGCTTTAAGGAGTAGGTTGATCAGTTCTATGGGGATAACATTTGTCCTGCTCTTCTGGCTGCTAGAGGGGTTCAAGGATAGGATTTCCACACTTCCACATCAGATGGGCAGAGAGAGAGCAGGATTCACTTCTTCATTTACAATGTGGTAAAGTCGACATAAAATGTTAGCAATCTGATCTGGTAGATGTTTACACCCATGTAAATGACAACAGAAGGCACAGGACAATTGGGAATAAGGACCCTATTGTCAGGACCAGGTCATTGGTGGCCTGTGGGCCTGGAGTGAGCTGCTCAATATTGGGGCTGAAGGTCAGAGATCAATCCGGGGCCGGGCCAGGCCAGCCAGCTGGGTCAGGTTGGGCCACAGCTGGGTCAGGTTGGGCCACGGTCTTTCACTGAGGTCAGCAATTGTCTTAAGTGGAAGACAGTAAATCAGGGCTGGGAGCCAAGCATTGGTTGAGCCGGGAGTGTGGGATAAAGACAAGATGCACTGAGGAGCAGCAAGGTGGAATCAACAGCAGAAGTCCACCAAAGGTCTGTTATTGCTCAGACAACTTCCAGAAACAGCGGTACTCCTACCTGCCATATGCAATGCAAGGGATGATTTGGATTTGCTATCTAAAGCCCTATGTGAGTTGTGTCCTAGCTCCCTGGTAGCTAACTTCTTCTGCCATGGACTGTCACAAAGCAATTGAGGCCAGCTGAGGAGCTAGAGTTAACCATTGCTAAGTTCAAATGTCTGGGGATGGAGAGGCAGGGCATTCTAGTGGAGGAACCCGGAGTATGGAATTCACTTCCTGTGTTGCTACAAGAAAGCCATAATTTGTGGATCTTTAGGGCATAGGGCTGATCCCATGCCTTTCTTCAGGATGTTGCTTATTGGAATTGGAGTTCAGTTGTTTGGTTTAAAGTTTATAATTGGATTGGGCATAGAGTTCTATTGTTTTTGACTTTTGTTTAAAAGTCACATGTTCTACTAACTGGAGCACATGAATTCAGAAACTTTGTATGGGGAGCATTTTCTAAATTACAAAATAAAGAAATCCACCTTGCATTGGCGGGTGGACAAGGTAGCAGCTTTTCTAACTCTAATTTCTGTGGTTTTATGAAACTAGAAATAATATTTATCGTATTTCTTGTCAGTTTTCTCAACTATTATATGTTGTATCATATGTCAGAATCTGTCATATTTCTAAAAGATTAAGACAAGAGTTCATAGAAATTGTCCATCTTTGCATTTAGCTCGAATATTCTTTTATCCCGAGATTACCAAAGGCATTTAGGCCCACATATTTAAAGGTATTTAGCTGCTTACGTGCTCAACTTTGCAATGCTTAACTGATTAGGAAACTATATCTCATTTTCAAACAGATTTAGGCTCCAAAGTGCCCAAGTCACTTTTGAAAATGAGGTTTAGGCTCCTAAATTAGTTAGGTGTTGCAACGCTGAGCATAGTTATGCCTAACTACCTTTTAAAATGTGGCTGTTAGGGCAGATTTTTAAAGGTGTTTATGCACCTAAAGATGCAGATAGACTCCTAATGAGATTTTCTAAAGCACTCAGGCACCTATCTCCCATTGATTTTAATGGGTGTTAGGCACCTAGTGGGATTTTCTAAAGTGACTATCTGCATAAGTACCTTTTAAAAATCTGTAAAAAGCAACAGAGAGTCCTGTGGCACCTTTAAGACTAACAGATGTATTGGAGCATAAGCTTTCGTGGGTGAATGCCCACTTCGTTGGATGGGCATTGACATGCATCCGACGAAGTGGGCACTCACCCACGAAAGCTTATTCTCCAATACATCTGTTAGTCTTAAAGGTGCCACAGGACTCTCTGTTGCTTTTTACAGAT